TACTGCTATCATGTCACCCCGGTTCTTTTCTCTAGTTCAGATATACCCAATCCTGCAAATGTTCTTCATATGTTTTAGTCTCCAGGATTTTAATCATTTTAGCTGCTCTTTTCTGCCCTTTTTCTAAAGTCTCAACATCTTCTTGGTAATATGGTGACCAAAACTGGATGCAGTATTTTAGGTGTGGTCTTACTAAGGTTTTATAAAGCGGTACTAATACGTCACACGATTTTGATCCTATGCCTCTGTTTAGACAGCCAAGGATTCTGTTAGCTGTTTTGGCTGCTGCCGCACACTGCTGGCTCATATTTTAGTGATCATCCACTAGCACGCCAAGGTCCCTCTTACCGTTACTGTTTTTGAGGCAGGTTTCGCCTAATATATTCCTGCCTGAGTGTAAAACCTTGTTTTTCTCCACATTAAATTTCATTTTGTTGGACGGGGCCCGTGGCTCAGGTCGGTCAAGATCCTTTTGGATTCTGAGCTTGTCACTTGCTACATTTTGTTTCTGTAGGCCTGAAGTTTTAGTTCCAGCAAAGTCAGGATCGCAGGGGACATTTAGATGGATTCCTTCTCGGGCCAGTCTCCACCGCCCTGGCCAGCCTTGACATGGTGTGTCTTGTCAGGCTGAGCTGGCAGTCCTGAACCTGTGTGGACTTGCCCTGCTAAAATATTATTCTTCCTTCTGCCTGGACACCTCTTTCCTGCCTCCAAAGCTCGTTTCATACTCTGCGCAACCCTGTGGAGGGTTTGAATGTTAACAAACCAGCAGAAATTTCATTTCCCCAGAGAGTTGGGGAGGGCGGGGGGGGGGAAAGAGGGTGGGGAGATTTAAAGCAATCTGTCCAATCTCCTGCTCCCTCCGGTCCATTCCCACCGTTCTCCATTGTGCCTGCTGACTGCTTATTCTTCTTTCCTCAAAAGATGTGGTAGAGAATATTTAAACAATAGCTAGTGCCAGGATGAATCACGAAACGTGTATGTATATATACAAACATGAGCCGCCCACTTGCATGCCTTCAAGTGCAGAAGCCAGAGAATTGGACGCTGTGATGGACTGCAGAGGCAATTTCAAAAATCATACTCAGTTGCTGATCAACAAGTTTTTCTTTCCTTGGTGGTGGGAAGAACCTCGTTTTGAATCGAGCAAGATCTGCCTTGGGGCTTTGGGACTCGTTCCTTGGTTGCTGCAAAGGGGGGCAGATGGAGAACTTGACCCTTCCTCAACTCTCCCTGGGTACAGCAGGGGTGGAGCAAGAGGACCTCCCTCTCCGTCCCTTCTTCCTACGGGGCAATTAGGACTGCAGTGGAGGGAGAGATCAGTTTACATCAGGGGTGGGCAATTATGCCCCCCTTTACGACCTGTGGACTGCAACTCAGCTCAGGAATTCTGGTAGTTGAGGTCTACAGATCATAAAGGGGCCACAGTTGTCCACTCCTGGTTTACATGGGGTTCCCCCCCCCTTTCCGTACTTAAAAGAATTACAGAGTCTAACCCCTGCTCAAGCAGGAGATCCTATATCAAGGGTAGGCAACCTTGGCTCTTTTATGACTCGTGGACTTCAACTCCCAGAATTTCTGAGCCAGCATGGGGGAACTATGGCCCCCTCACGACTCCTGGACTTCAACTCCCAGAATTCCTGAGCCAGCATGGCTCAGCTTGGAAACCTCTCCCTTTCCCCTCAGCATGGCTGGCCCAGAAATTCTGGGAGTTGAAGTCCACGAGTCATATAAGAGCCAAGGTTGCCTACCCTGCCCTATATCATTTCAAACAAGTAGCTATCCAGGCTCTTCTTAAAAACTTCCAATGTTGGAGCATCCACAACTTCTGGAGGCAAGGCGTTCCACTGGTTAATTGTTCTCACTGTCAGGAAATTCCTCCTTAGTTTTAGATTGCTTCTCTTCTTGATTAGTTTCCATCTGTTGCTTCCTGTTCAGATGCTTTGGGGAACAGATTGACTCCCCCTCTTCTTTGTGGCAGCCCCTCAAATATTGGCTTTCGTGTCACCTTTAGTCCTAAGACATATCCAATCCCCTCCAGTCTTCAGTCCTTCATCTTCTTTGTTGCTCTTCTCTGTACTCCTAACATTTTTTTCATATTGTGGTGACCAAAACTGGATGCAGGATGGTGGGGAGAAGAATTAGTGGAAGGGATAATCCACTTTGGATGCTGCTCTCTGCCATGCCTCTCCCTCCCCCCCCCCCACAATTCTATCCTATAGCAATTAGGTTGAGGAAAGAAAGATTCTCATTAGGCAAAAGGAAACTTTGATCCAGGCCAACTTCTTGCAAGCCAAAGTGGTGTGAGAGAAAGAGAGAGGAAGGAACCAAGAAAAGGTGCAGGAAAAGAAAGATGGGATTGATTGATTACAGATTTTTAAGGTTTATAAGATTGCCCAATTCAACCAATGTGACTCTGGATGACCTTCAACGTGCAAAATAAAGTATATGTCCCAAATGCCCCCCCCCCCCCCGGACACCATACAACACCAAACAAATACAATATATAAATTTAAACTATAAAATAGCAACCAAGCACACAATGAAGTAGCCAAAGGGGGATTTTCACTCAAGTGATCCCTGATGGCTGGGAGAAGGACCGGGGTCTTAAGGACTTCCTGATAGAGTTGGGGCTTGCAATGTATCTTTGGGGGGGGGAGAGAGAGCCTTCCAGAAAACAAGGGCAACCATAGAGTCCTCAACTTATGACGATTCATTTAACAACCATTCAAAGTTAGGATGTCATTGGAAAGAGTGACCTATGACTCTTGTTCATACTTAACAACCGTTGCAACACCAACACCCCCCATAGTCACATGATCACAATTCCAGTGCTTGGCAAACAGCAAGTATTTATGATGGCTGCAGCATCCTGGGGTGATGTGATCACTGTTTGTGACCTTCCCGGCTGGATTTGCTTTACAACCATGTGATTCATTTAACAAGCATGGCAAAGAAAGCTGTAAGATCGGGCACTTCACTTACTTAAAAACCCGCCTTAGCAGTGGAAATTCTGCTCCGAAGACTTGAAGACAGTCATGGAGTGGAGAGGAGAAAAGACAGACTCATGGAAAGAAGGGAGAAAAGACAGGGTGGCCGATATAAAACGTGCAACTGGTTCTATTTCTGCTCTCAGCTCTGCCCACCTCTGATTTTATCTCCATCCACTTCTGGCAGCCATGCGGCACCCACAACTTTGGCCCTCAGCACAAAACTCCTATCCTTCATCTGCAACGGGAGAAAGACGCTCACTTTCTAATTAATTTCACAGACTCGAGCAAAGATAACCGAGGTGAGGCTTGCGGAGAACTTTCAACGCCCTAAAAACAATGTATAAATGCCAAGTGTGAAGAATTAAAATTGGCTGAGAAACCCAAAGCCCTTTCCATTTAGCTAAGGCTCAATTATTACTGGGAAACAAAGAAGTCCTGTGATTTTTATTTTATTTTTATTTTTTTTAAAAAAGTCACCTACAAAGAAGGCATTCATCTGGGTCTGATCTCGGGTTATAAATTAAAGGCCGTTCCTTTGCGCGGATGGCTGGCGGCATGTGCGAATGAGTAAGAAATGCTGATATCCCGAGCAGGATGCAAGAATGAACCTTTTAAAAGAGCTCTTCGGGAAAGCCCGTGGAAGAAACCTGAGTCTCTCTTATGTGGTTTTCCTCGGAGAGGGATCTCCCCACCCTTCACGAGCCCCAACCGCAGAAAAACAAGAGAAAGACTCGGGCGTCAGGATCAAAGGGGTGAAATCAAAGCCAGGAAGTATCTCAACTTTAGTTGGTCACATGTGGCGCGCGCGCGGTCTTCTTGAAAAGTCATTTTGTGGGTCTCCTCACCCCCGTTTTTTTTAACCCCTGGGAAATGATAGGACCCAGATGAGGATGAAAAAGTACCGAGAGGAAACAACTACCAAATGTCCTAAATGCATATTCTTGGAAAGTGGGCAGGATGCAGGATGTCCCCGTTGTGGGTCTTCAAAGGCCTTCTCCGTAGACAGAAGCAAGTTGGAGGACCAATGTGGCTGTGAAGTTCCACCCTGGGACAATCCCTCCTGTCTTCTGCTCTCCTGCCTCCCTCCTTCCCTTGGGACAGAACTGCTCAGTGGCATGGAAGACTCGGGTTCCCCTCTTGTTGTTTTGTAGGGCGGAGGCACACATGGCGGGACGGGGCTGCAGATGTGTTTTGAAGACAAGGACCGGGGGGGGGGGGGGGAGCTGCTTAGGCTAGCGTGAGAGCCATCTGCAGAGACGTGGCAGCAGATCTTTCGGCAATCAGCTAAACGGAGGTATTGGTTTGATTTGTGTACTAAATTCAGTTCAGCTCCTCGGTTGCTTGACGTGAGGCTCAACAAGTGTGAAAAGGCCCTCCAGGAAAGCAACCCGACGAAATGGTTGGGTTTGTAGAATCCACTCAGCCACAACACGTACGAAGATATTTTCAGCCTCAGGTAGCAAGTAGGGTTAACACGGTTAATGTATTTCAATTTATGGAGGCCCAATTAACTTGGCCATGATTCTGAACTTCTTGATCAGGGGTCCTCAAACTTGACCCTTTGATGACTTGTGGACTTCACAATTCTGGCTGAGCCTGGCTGAGGAATTCTGGGAGTTGAAGTCCACAAGTCATCAAAGGGCCAAGTTTGAAGTTCTTCACGGCGTCCCAGTCCTTTCACAACAGGCCATTCAGCAATCCAATTCTAAGATTTAGTGGCTGACTGGGGAATTCTGGGAGTCGAACTCCGCAGATTTTAAAGTTGCTAAGATTGACAAACACTGGTCTACAATGTCCCCTGAACAGGGAGGTGCCTCTTTCACAACTGGTGGCTTTCACAAATTAACAGGAAAAGGTCTATAAGCAAAACTCAACACCCCTGTGACTTTTCTTTTGGGGACGATCCCCAAAATGTTATTCCAAGATACCTTCCGTTGTGCTGAAAGACAGCCAGTGGAACAGCACCCCAGATCCTTCCCTTCCCTTCCCGTGGTTTCCCACACTCACCTGGATTTCTTCTTGCCAGAAGTTTGAGAACATCTGCATCTTTCCAAGCAGCTTCATAATGAAGTAGAGGCTGAGGTTTCTGCCCAGTTGTCTGGGGAGGAAGGACAGGAGACTTCATCAGTGCGCTTCTAGCTGCCTTGTGCTCCCTTCGCAGCCCAGCGCTCAGCCTGCTGCGGAGATGGCAAACTCGGATGGTTTCCCTTCCTCACCTGCCCCCATTCGTTGGTTTTGCTAGCAAGGGGAAGGGGCAATCTTCCTCTTTGCCAGCAAGGTAAGATGGGCAGCCAATAATTGTAAACAAGCCAACCGATAAACAAATAGCAAAAGAGGAAGATACAACCTAGAACAGTGGTAGGGAACCTATGGCACGGGTGCCAGAGGCGGCACTCAGAGCCCGTTCTGTGGGCACGCGCACCATCGCCCCAGCCCCGCCTCCCCCCACGGCCCCCTCCTCACCAGTAGCCCCCCCGGAGGAGAGTCACCCTCGAGCATGGCCCGCACAGAGCAGTGCAGCCAAGGACATGGCAGCCAGGCAGCAGGGACATAACTGTGCCCTTGTGTCCTGTCGCGCGCAGATGATGCTACAGAGTGCAGGTGGAAGGCGTGGCTGCCATAGCACTGCTGGGCCGCCTGGGTAATCTGCGGCAGGCCATAGAGGCGGTGGATGGCCCTGCGGGTGGGGGTGGAGCTGGGATGGCGGGGAGGGGCTGGTTTTTGGGCACTCGGTCTCTAAAAGGTTCGTCATCACTGACCTAGAAGAAGGAATTTCTTGACAGTGAGAATAATTAATCAATGGAAAAGTTTGCCTCCGGAAGTTGTGGGTGCTCCACAGCTGGAGGTTTTCAAAACGAGACTGAACAAGCCTTTGACCAGGATGGTACAAGATCTTCTGCTTGAGCAAGAGGTAGGACTAGAAAGCCCCTGAGATCCCTTTTGATCCTAAGATTCCATGTTCCATGTTATGTCTCAGGTACCCAAATGTCTTGGGCCGGTCCTAATGCCACCTTCCTGGACACGGATCCTTTTGGTGGCTACAAGGATGGCAAGATGTATCACGTGTCTAGATGAACAGAAGGGAGAAAGGTCACTGGGAGTCTCCCATCTAATCCATTTTAGCAGTCGTCACCAGTGCTCACAAAGCAGGTGGGGGGTTAACGGTAGACACCCTTCTGCCCTTTCTGAGCTAAATAAACGCCCACAGTTGAATCTCTCTCATCAGCTCTGGGGTTTACACTCAGCTCTTTTATTCTGCAAGCACCACAGATGCATCTTGTTTCCAGATCCTGCTCCAGAGAACTACACCGCCTCCAGTAACAACACAAGGTTCCCGAGCAAACAGGTCACTCGTTACAAGCCTGTTGTTGTAAGCCTGATTCCCGCTCTTTTCCCCAGCAGTCTTGTGGAAGCATGTCTTGAAGTTGCTCTGGCACTATTCTACCCTGAACATTAATTAAACCACATATGGATGCTGTGGGGAGAAAGAGGGCAAAATGCCACTTTTGCTGAGGGGGATGCTACTAGCGACAGAACTTGCCAATCTGGAGCCCTCATCCGAAGAGCATTAAAACAGACTCCTTAGGTTTAAAAGGAAAAAGCCACTGGAGAATCACAGGGCCCCGGGAGCAAGGCCAGGGCCTAGTTCCTATTCCTCCTTTTCCAAATATAAAACCTGCACTTTGCCTGTTGTGGAAAAGTTTAATTGGAACAAGGAAAATGTCCTTGTCTGATGATTTCCATCAGGAAGACGTGACGGAAAAAAGATAATCCCCGTCATAGCACGGTGATGCATTTCCAATCATCCTGATCCCCTGCTGCTTCTAAAAATGAAATTAAAGGATGGGAAAAGATCAACTTCTCATTTCATTGGTCCTGAACAGCTGGATTTGAATGATAGGGGGGAAAACGGTGTCTAGAAAGGCTCGCATGCCCCAGGAAGAGAAAAGCTTACTCGGGAATTAGGCTCTGCATTAGGAGACTTTTCAAAATTAAATTCTGCTGCTGATTTGGAGGCCTCAGCCTGGACAGGTTCCTCTCACTTACATATATCTAACTATTTTAGGGCGGACTCTCGCAGAATTTCCCAGCCAGCACAGTCAACGGCATGTTTAGAGGGCGCCAGAACAGGGAAGTGTGAAGCTGGCACACCACTCCACATTTAAATAAGGGGACATCCCTACTTTTGATGCCCACCGTTGTGCTTCTTGACTTTCTGCATGCAAAATGGAGGCTGAGCACAATCTGGTCCTGTGATAGCTTCCCCTCATCCTCATGCCCTCCAGGCCTGTTGTTTCTTCCGTTCTACCTCCCCATTTGCACCATCCTTCCTTCAGCTTCTAAGCCAGGGGTCCTCAAACGTGGCCGCTTTAAGACTTGTGGACTTCAACTGGCTGGGTGGCTGGGGAATTCTGGAAGTTGAAGTCCACAAGTCTTAAAATGGCCACGTTTGAGGACCCCTGTTCTAAGCACTTCCGGCCAAATAGTCCTGAGGGCTTCCATTTCAAATGGACAAGCCACGGACGTTTGGCCACCCCAAGGGCGATAAAGAGTCTGTTTTTCTTTTATAATTATAACGAATGCTCCTTGTTCTTATTTATCCAGAGACTTGGGACATGTAGAAACAGATGCAGGGGTGCAACTCTTAAAATGTTTACTTTCTCAGCTAAAACCTTTAATTCTGTCACACCCACAACGCTCCCATTCCTGCCTCCCCATCTCAAAGTCCTGTATTTTCTTCCCTGACACAGAATTTGCACTCTCTTGTCCCGGAAAACGCAACACACCAATGTTTATCACGCTGCTTGGCGGAGCGGCAGTCTCTCTGTTTGAAAGAACTGTGCTCAGAGCAGGTGGCACAAACCCTGGCAGCGCCGTGCGGGCGGATTGCATGGCATGCTAAGCAGAGAAATCCACAGAGCCTTTGGGAACGTGCTGCATCCAAATAAAGACATTAAAAACAAAAGAAAAAAACAAACGACACGAAGAACCAACCAGGAAAACAAGTCCCACTGTGAGTGTCTCAGATCCCAGCTCCAAGAAAGGGACATCTAAATCAGACCTAGGAAAATGGAGCCCAGAAGCAGCCGACACTGGGCCCGAACCAGAGGCAGCCACGTGTGTCCCATGCTTAATGCCGCAATTGTGACCGCCCGGATTTCTATTATTGCCAAAGTAATTATTGCTTCATTTGTTAAATTGGAAAAATGGGTGATAGCGCAATCCTCTGCAGCTGTGACACTGTTGCTCAGGAACTGCGGTTCTGAATTACAATTAGAATTAGAATTAGAATATGGACTGAACTTCCTTAATTCTTTTTAACTTTTTTTTTAAAGTTTGTTATAAGATAAAATGCAAATAAAAATGAAGAACATTAAAGACGACAGAGGTGCAGAAAGAAAGGAGGGGGGGAAAAGTAATGACTCCGACTTTTTTGGGTACAGCAGAATGCAGAAAAAAATGGAGTCTCAGTCTTTCACTTTACATTTCTAAAAGTTTCTAAGCCGTTTTCAGAAAAGAGTCACTCTAGCTGCCAAGGTTGGGCAACTCTGCCATCGTGTAACCTGGCTCTCAGCTTGACTCAAAATGGTACACAGGAAGTCCTCGACTTACGAGCACAATGGAGCCCAAAATTTCTGTTGCCAACCAAGACAGTTCTAAACCCATTACCACTTTACAACCTTTCTTGTCAGAATTGTTGAGTGAGTCACTGCAGCTGTTAAGTTAGTAACACGGTTGTTAAGTGGATCTGGCTTCCCGTTGCTTAGCAAAGATTTTCAAAAGCTAATCAGGTCATCCTGGGACACTGCAACCGTCAGAAATACGAATTGGTTGCCAAGTCTCTGAATGTTGATCACGTGACTATGGAGATGCTGCAATGGTCGTGTGAAAAATGGCCATAAGTCACTTTTTTCAGTGCTGTGGTAACTTTGAACAGTCCCTATGTGAGCTGTTGTAAGTCAAGGACTTATATACCACTTCATAGTGCTTTGGAGCCCTCTCCAAGTCCAGAGCATATTGCCCTCCATAATCTGGATCCTCGCTTTACCGATCTTGGAAGGATGGAAGGCTGAGTCAATCCTTAGCCGGTCAGGATCAAACTCCTGGCAGTGGGCAGAGTTTGCCTGCAATGCTGCCTTCTAACCACTGCGCCACCAGGGCTCTTCTTCAGGACAAGGGCTCCGGGGAAATAGCTCCCCTGAATGGACTTGCCGGCCTCTTGTGCCTGTGACACCCATTGTTTAGAAATCTAAACTCTTGAGATCAGTTGAACACTCAGGCAAAAGTCAGAATCAGGGAGGGGAAACCATGCTGCTTCTCTCACCTTCCGAAGTCCCTTCCTGTCAGAGCTCCGTGTTTTGAAAAAAGAATTTCCTAGACGGCGACTAAAATAGGGATATTTTGGCAGCAACATCAACATCCTCCCTAGAAAGGCTGATCTGGTGCCAAAGCTTCCGTCTCTCAGTGCTGCGCTAAAAACATCTGGGCCAAACTGACTCTCTTCCTTATCACCAGCAAAAATAAAATGTATGGACCAATCAGGCGATGTAAAGCAGGGGTCTCCAACCCCCGGTCCGTGGACCGGTACCGGGCTGCCAGCAACTGGGCCGCCCAAGCAAGCAAAGTCCTCAGCCAGCTACGCTATTCTGGGAGCTGAAGTCCACAAGCCTTAAGGTTGTCAAGGCTGCAGACCCCTGGTCTACAGCAATGTTTCTTAATCCCAGCAACTTTGGGTTGGGTGGACTTCAACGCCCAGAATTCCTGGGCTCAAAATGGTGCTGGGGTTGAAAAACACTGATCTAGAGCAAAGGGTACCAGGAGTCAAGCTTGCATGGCCTTCGTTTTGGAAGAGAGCCTCAAAGTTCCCTGCTCCTTAATATCCGCTTTAGGTACGAGAACGGCTTATACCTGTGTGTGGCAGAGCAAGGGTTCAGAGAGAAAGCACTCTCTCTACTTTCAAACATTCAACGGGCGTTTTCATAATCACAATAATAGTACCAGCAATTTGCAAATATTGTTAAACAACAAGAGCACAGAGGGGAGAAGGAAGCAATAAGCTGACCTCTCAGAAAGAGCCAAGGGGGAATTTTAGCCCTT